AAAAAAAAAAAAAAAAATTTAGGTTCCAAGGTAGGGCAGACCATATAGCTCCTTCCAGTCTTTGAGTCAACCAAATGGCATAAGAGGAATCACTTAAAATATTAAGAGGTTGGAGAGAGAAGTTTTCAATCACAAATATAATTGCTAGCAACTCTAACCTCTGAGCAGAAAGACTGGGTGTAGGCAACACATAGCTAAAGGAAGAGCTCCAAATTGCTGCTTGGCCCTTAGAGGAGCCATCGGTGAAATACGTTGAGGTACCTTGCAATGGCTGAAATTGGGTAATCTTGGGGAGAATAAACTCGTGTCGCGAAAAAAGCTGAAACAGAGGATCACTAGGGTAATGATTATCTATCTGTTCAATGAAATCTGCAAAGGCTACTTGCCAATATAAAGCAGTTTTTAGCAGCATCTGCATTAGATCCTTATCAACTGGGATAATGATGAAATGAGGGTCAGCACCAAATAACTGTCAGGTTTTATTATGTCTCAAGAAAACTATTTTTGCAGTTTTCTCTAGATATAATTGTAGAGATTTCACTAAGTGCTTAGACAAAAACCACCATTCCATGGGAAAGACCTGTTTTTCATACCATTGTCCTATTAAACCTGTAGGTGAATGAGGGGTGCTAAGTACCAACAAATGAACTGGGTAGTTAAAGTTGATAAGAAAAACCTGCCAGTTATATATTCTTTGTTCTATTAATTGTAACTCCTTTTGTGCCTCTGGAGTTAATCTTTGAGGGGAATTAAGATCAGAATCTCCCTGTGATATTTCATATAAATTCAGCAATTGACAAGTTGCTATCCCTATTTTAGGCCTAATCCAATAAAAGGCAAATTGAGGTTGGTCAGTCAGCCCCAAAGAAATGTTGAAAAAGCAGTCTTCTAAATCTGTAAGTGGCCGGGGATTTAGCTCAGTGGTTTCGCCACCTGCTTTGCAGGTGCAAGGACCCGAGTTCGATCCCTGGTACCAAAAAAAGAAAAAGAAAGAAAAACACACTAAATCTACAAGTGGCCACTTCTGGGGAATTGCCACTGGGTTTGGTAAGCCAGGTTGCAATGCCTTCATGGGAATGAGGCTGGCATTAACTGTCCATAAGTCTTGAGACCAATGCCATTTCCCTGACCTTTTTGGAATAATAAAAAGGGGTGTGTTCCAAGGGCTCATGGATGGTTTTAAATGCCCTTTGTTAAGTTGTTCTAAGATAGGTTGCTCTAAAACAGTTAGTTTCTCCTGTGGTAGGGGCTACTGATCAACCCAAATGGGGTCATTCAATTTCCATTGTAAAGGCAGAGCTGCCTTGGGCAGAGAAACTTCAATAGCCCCAACTAAAAATTTTTTACCATATCCAATTCCAAGATGATTATTTTTCTGTTGCTGTTCTATAGACTGCATTCCACTCTGAAGTTGCTTGCCTAATACTATTTCTGGTTCATATCCCATTTTAGACAACATGTGTTGACCCAGTGAGGTTTCAGGGGACAAAGCAGTCACTACGACTCTCCATTCTTCCAATAAATCTCTGCCCCATAAATTTACAGGTATGGGAGCTATGTAAGGACAAATATGTCTCAATTGACCATTAGGCCCTTCATGAGGCAGGGGAATGGAGCTTTGCAAAACTTGGTGGGGGGGGGCCAAGGCCTACCAGAGATGTTTTAGTTGGTTTTTTCCCCCAAGATGATGGCCAGAAACATGTGCCAATTACAGACACATCCGTGCCTGTGTCTACCAATCCTGTAAAGAATTTGCCATTCAGTTTAATTTTGCACATGGGCTGGTTTTTGGAAATCTCTTGAGGAATTTCTGGCTGAGGATCTTCTCAGGAATTTTTAAAGCTAACATTATTTAATTTTGGTTTAGGCAAAAGTAATAATTGTGCAATATAATCTCCTTGTTCTATTACCCAAAGTCCTGTGGAGCTAACAGGAACACACAATTCAGAGGTACAATCAGAATCAACAATAGCCGGAATAACAGTAATGCCTTTCAAAGTTAGAGAGAATTTTCCAAGTATCAAACCAATAGTTCTGGGGGGTAGGGGTCCATGAATTCCTGTGGAGACAGACACTGGAGTCTCACCTCCCAGCAGGTGAACTCTCTGAGCAGCAGGAAGATCTATTGCTGAGCTCCCAAGTGTTCCCCTGACGAGGGAAGAAATGTCCCTCCGGACACCCATGCCATCTGATTTTATACTTGTGCATGGGTCTGAACTAGGTACGGCTGACTTAGGGGGACTGGAGCCCTCTGGGCCTGATCTCCTATAGTTTCCTGGGCCCAATTTCCCGGGAGCAGTGTGCCATACTTACCATATTTGGAGTGGCAGGCTTTAGCCCAGTGAATGCCTTTTCAACAGCGAAGGCAAGGGCCAAGTGATAACTTATTTTCTTTGGATGCCTGACCTAGAGGCTCTGGGTCAGCTTGTAAAGCCACTTTCATTTTGCAGTTTTTTCTGAGATGCCACGATTTTCCTTAATTAAAACATTTTAAATCACTGTGTGTACCGCGTAAATGTGGGAGATGGCTTGAGGTATCACAGCCGAATTGTATAAAGGAGACCCAATATTTTGGCATGCCTTAATATATGCTCCAACATTTTTAGAGGAGCGAACAGGATTTATTGCCTGTTTGCAATCCATATTGGCATTTTCATAGGCTAGATGTAAAATCAGGATGTCTGCTGCCTGGGAATTAGAAATCTGTCTCCTAATAGTTTGTTGTAATCTTGCTACAAATTCTGTGTAAGTTTCCAATGGCCCTTGCATGATTTGAGTAAAAGATTTTGTCGGCGCACCATCAACTGGCACAGAAGCCCAAGCCCTCCGCAGGAGGTCCTCTAGCTGGTGAAAGAGTAACGCTGGGCAACAGGCCTGCCTGCT